CTATTTCCCATTTCTCCCATTTTCCCATTCTCCTATTGTCCCATTCTCCTCTTTTCCCATTTCTCTTATTTTCCCATTTGTCCTATTTTCCCATTTCTTCTCTTATCCCATTTCTTCTGTTTCCCCATTTTTCCTATTTCCCATTTGTCCTATTTTCCCATTTTCCTATTTTCCCATTCTCCTGTTTTCCCATTTCTCCTATTTCCCCATTTTTCCTATTTTCCATTTGTCCCATTTTCCCATTTTCCTATTTTCACATTTCCCCTATTTCCGTGCCTAATCCCCCAAAACCCTGACCCCACCCTGGGACCCCCAGCTGACCCCCACCCACTCCAAACCCAAAAATGACCCCCCAAAACCCCCGGGGTACCCCAGGGACCCCCGTGAGACCCCCGCCCACCTCTCTTGGTGACCACCAGCTGCACCTTGACCGTCTCGTACAGGTGGCAGTAGTGGTGGTGCAGGTTACACGAGTAGGTGCCCGCGTCGCTCTCGGCAACGCCTGCGGAGACACGGCAATGCCCGGGTTGATCCCGAGACAATTAATTTATCCAGGGTTTATCCCAAGACAATTTATCTATGATTTATACCAAGGCAATTTATCTATGATTTATCCTGAGATAATTTATGCACGATTTAACCCCAGACAATTTATTCAGGATTTATCCTGAGACAATTTGTCCACAATTTATCCTGAGACAATTCATCCAGGATTTATCCCAATTTACCCACAATTTATCCCGAGACAATCCATGCACAATTTATCCTAAGACAATTTATGCAGGATTTATCCCGAGACAATTAATGCATGATTTATCCCAAGACAATTTATCAAGGAATGGAGACTCCACCATATCCCTCAGCCAACTGTTCCCACATTGAACAACCATTCCAGGAAGAAATTCCTCCCGATATCCATCCTGAACTGCAAAAAACCCTCTGTACCTTTGATGACCAGTGAGAAATTCCCATCTGGAAATGCATTCTTTGGACACCTCCAAGGATGGACACTCCAGTACCTCTTTGGATGGTCCCTTCCAAGAAGAAATTCCACCCCAAACCATAAAAATCCTCCGTACCTTTGATCACCAGGGAAAAATTCCCATCTGGAAATGCATTCCTTGGACACCTCCAGGAATGGAGGCTCCACCACTTCCTTGGACAACCTTTTCCAGAAAGAAATTCCATCCCAAATCAGAAAAACCCTTCGTACCTTTGATCACCAGGGAGAAATTCCCATTTGGAAATGCATTCCTTGGACACTTCCAAGGATGGGGACTCCAGTACCTCTTTGGACGGCCCCTTCCAGGAAGAAATTCCATCCCCAACCAGAAAAACCTCTGTACCTTCGATGACCAAGGATCTGGAAATGCATTCCTTGGACACCTCCAATGATGGAGACTCCAAACCACCCTGGACAGTTCCTTCCCTTGTTTAACAACACTTTCCAGGAAGAAATTCCACCCCAAACCATAAAACCCCTCTGTACCTTCAATGACCAGCGAGAAATTCCCATTTGGAAATGCATTCCTTGGACACCTCCAGCAATGGAGGCGTTTTCCAGAAAGACGTTTTCCAGAAAGAAATTCATCCCAAACCAGAAAAAACCTCCATACCTTTGATCACCAGGAAGAAATTCCCATCTGGAAATGCATTCCTTGGACACTTCCAAGGATGGGGACTCCAGTACCTCTTTGGACGGCCCCTTCCAGGAAGAAATTCCACCCCAAACCAGAAAAACCCTCCGTATCTTTGATGACCAGGGAAACATTCCTGTCTGGAAATGCATTCCTTGGACACCTCCAGGGATGAACACTCCACCACCTCTTTCAATGGCCCCCTTCCAAGAAAATATTCCACCCCAAACCATAAAACCCCTCTGCACCTTCAATAACCAGCGAGAAATTGCCGTCGGTGAAGGCGTTGTCGGGCATGCGGATCCTGCCGCGGTTGTAGGAGCTGTAGACGCGCTGTTCCCCGGCCGAGTACATATCACAGAGCCTCTCCGTGCGCCCATCACCGTAGTAGGAGCTGAGCAGGTCCCAGTGCACCACGCGCTGCCGGTCGTTGAGGCGATCCTGCGTCCACACCATGCGCTGGCTCTGGCAGGGCAGCACGGCCAGCGAGCCCAGCGCCGCGCTGACGTTCTGCACCGACACCACCACGCTGGACGGGTTCGAGGCGTCGGCTGGTACTGGGGACAGAGTGGGGTTGTGGGGTTTAGGGGGTGGTGGAGGGGTTTTTTGGTGAGTTTTGGGGGGTTTGGTTGTGGGATTGGGTCAAGGGGTTTTGGTGGGGGATGGTGGAAATGGGAGGGGGTTATGGGAGTGGGGATTCAGATGCTGGTTCTGTATAGACACCCCAAAATCTCAGCCCATTCCTGATTATCGCTGCACAGACACCCCAAAATCCCACCCTGTGCATCCATGATCATTGATCCAATTCTGATCCTGCACAGACACCCTAAAATCCCATCCTATTCCTAATTATTGATCCAACCCTTATCCCTGCACCCCAAAATAGCACCCTGTACATCCTTGATTATTGATGCAACCCTGATCGCTGCACAGACACCCCAAAATCTCACCCCATTTCTGATTATCCCTGCACCCCAAATCCCACTCTGTGCATCCCTGATTATTGATCCAACCCTGATCGCTGCACAGACACCCCAAAATCTCATCCCATTCCTGATTATCGCTGCACAGACACTCCAAAATCCCACCCTGCCCCTGATCATGGATCCAACCCTTATCCCTGCACCCCAAAATCCCAACCTGTGCATCCATGATTATTGATCCAGCTCTGATCCCTGCCCAGGCACCCCAAAATCTCAGCCCATTCCTGATTATCACTGCACAGACACCCCAAAATCCCATCCCATTCCTGATTATTGATCCAACCTTTATCCCTGCACCCCAAAATCTCACCCTGAGCATCCATGATCATTGATCCAATTCTGATCCTGCACAGATACCCCAAAATCTCATCCCATTCCTGATTATCACTGCACAGACACCCCAAAATCCCACTCTGTGCTTTCCTGGTTATTGATCCAACCCTTATGCCTGCACAGACACCCCAAATCCCACTCTGTGCATCCCTGGGAGTGGTGTCCAAACTCTCCTGGAGCTCTTGGGAAGCCTGGTCAGTGCCCCACTCTGCAGGGTGTGACCCTTTTCCCAAAAAGAGATCCTTTTCCCAGTAAAAAAGACCCTTTTCCCAGAAAATAAATCCTTTTCCCAATAAAGGGGTCCTTTTCCCAATAAAGAGAAATCCTTTTCCAAATTAAGAGATCCTTTTCCCAGTAAAGAGATTCTTTTCCTTATAAAGAGACCCTTTTCCCAATTAAGAGATCCTTTTCCCAGTAAAGAGACTCTTTTCCCAGAAAGGAAATCCCTTTCCCAATAAAAAGACCATTTTCCCAGTAAAAATATCCTTTTCCCAGTACAGAGACCCTTTTCCCAATAAAAATACCCTTTTCCCAATAAAAAATCCCTTTCCCAGTACAGAGAGCTTCACCCCACAGATTTCCCCCAGTGGAAGCCGTGTCTGTCATTGGGGCCGCACACTTGGCCCATCCCACCCACCCTCCCTAATCCCAACCCCGATTTAATCCGAATTTAGGGACACAGAAACACGGGATGCACGATCCATGGAATTTAGAAAATTCAGGAATCAGGGTCCATCCCGGTCCTCCTGATCACAAACCCAACAGATTCACGGAGGCGCCACTCACCTGAGTACGAGTGCACAGAACCTGTTANTGATTATTGATGCAACCCTGATCGCTGCACAGACACCCCAAAATCTCACCCCATTTCTGATTATCCCTGCACCCCAAATCCCACTCTGTGCATCCCTGATTATTGATCCAACCCTGATCGCTGCACAGACACCCCAAAATCTCATCCCATTCCTGATTATCGCTGCACAGACACTCCAAAATCCCACCCTGCCCCTGATCATGGATCCAACCCTTATCCCTGCACCCCAAAATCCCAACCTGTGCATTCCTGGTTATTGATCCAACCCTTATCCCTGCACCCCAAAATCCCACCCTGAGCATCCCTAATCATTGATCCAACCCTTATCCCTGCACAGGCACCCCAAATCCCACCCATGCATCCTTGGGAGTGGTGTCCAAACACTCCTGGAGCTCTTGGGAAGCCTGGTCAGTGCCCCACTCTGGAGGGTGTGACCCTTTTCCCAAAAAAGAGACCCTTTTCCCAGAAAATAAATCCTTTTCCAATAAAGAGAAATCCTTTTCCCAGTAAGGAAACCATTTTCCCAATAAAGAAATCCTTTTCCCAGTAACGAGATCGTTTTCCCAATAAAAAGACCCTTTTCCCAAAAAAGATCCTTTTCTCGATAAAAAATCCCTTTTCCCAATAAGGACACCCTTTTCCCAGTAAAAAGACCCTTTTCCCAGTAAAGATATCCTTCCCTCAATAAAGAGAACCTTTTCCTAATAAAGAGAACCTTTTCCCAATAAATAGGTCATTTTCCCAGTAAAGAGACCCTTTTCCCAGAAAGGAAATCCCTTTCCCAATAAAAGACCCTTTTCCCAGTAAAAAGATGCTTTTTCCCAGTAAAGAGACCCTTTTCCCAATAAAAAATCCCTTTCCCAGTACAGAGAGCTTCACCCCACAGATTTCCCCCAGTGGAAGCCGTGTCTGTCATCGGGGCCGCACCCTCCCTAATCCCAACCCCGATTTAATCCGAATTTAGGGACACAGAAACACGGGATGCACGATCCATGGAATTTAGAAATCCACAGAATTTAGAAAATTCAGGAATCAGGGTCCATCCCGGTCCTCCTGATCACAAACCCAACAGATTCACGGAGGCGCCACTCACCTGAGTACGAGTGCACAGAACCTGTTAAAGCAGAAAATAAAGAGTGTTAGTGACAAAAAAATGGGGAAAAGACACAAAAAATGAGCGTTAGTGACAAAAAAATGGAAAAAAGGCACAAAGAGTGTTAGTGACAAAAAATTGAGAGAAAAGCTACAAAAAAAGAGCGTTACTGACAAAAAACAGAAAAAATACACAGATAGTGTTAGTGACAAAAAAATGGAAAAAATACACAAATAAAGAGGGTTACTGACAAAAAATGGAGGGAAAATAAAAAATATAAAGAGCATTAGTGACAAAAAATGGAGGGAAAAGACACAAATAAAGAGCATTAGTAACAAAAAATGGAAAAGACACAAATAAAGAGGGTTACTGACAAAAAATAGAAAAAATACACAAATAAAGAGTGTTAGTGACAAAAAAATTGAGGGAAAAGAATAAATAAAGAGGGTTAATGGCAAAAAAATGGAAAAAAAATCACAAATAAAGAGCATTAGTGACAAAAAAGGGAGGGAAAACCACATTAGGTCACCGGGTGAGCAGGACGGGATCGGGGGAAATTGTGGGGGAAACTCAGATTCCAGCTGATCTCCTCTTTGGGAATGTGTGAATATCTGGTGTGACACAAAAAAAACCCCAAAAATACCTTGAAAAACCACCAAAAAACCCACCAAAAAAACCCAAGAAAAGAACGACTTTGTGCTGCCCCCGACACGCTCTGTGCTGACTCAGCAGATTCCAGAGAGGTCCCACAGCGCAGGAAGAGGAACTCAGCCTGGAAAACTCTTTCCTAATCCCTCGTAAAAATCAGTGCCAGCTCTCCGCTCTCAAATTTAATTCTTGAATTCTTCAGGAGAAGAATTAAAGCGCAAAAACCCGCGGGGATCGGGGTTTGAGGGATTTAGGATGGGCTCAGAGCCCAAAATTGTCCCCAAATCCTGCCCGGAGAATC